AGTTGTCATGGTAGTCGCGCGTTTCTTTTAGAATTTCTAATTTCNCTAATATCAATGCTCAGGACACCTTTCACCTATATACTTCACAATTTTTTGTCCCTTTTTTGCTTCACTCGTGGGTAGCCAAGCAACCATTGCGGCAACTTTTTCCCATCATAACCAGTAGCCAAGCACTTGCTTGCTTTCCCAGAGTCAAAGTTATCCACACATCAGAAAAAGTACATGGACAGATTTATGTTCCTGATGCAAATTGGTTGCTCATGGTCCTTAGCCTCGCAATCTTGATAGGTTTTCGAGACATATCAGCTATTGCAAACGCTACAGGTATAGCTTTATACATTGATCAAAACTGTAGCTCTCTTGGTTTTTAAGCACTAAACAGTCATGTAAAGCTTCTAATGCACGCATTTATGGCTCCCACTATATTAGTTATTGGATTAGAATTATAGGGGCCATATTGTTACTAGGACCAGAGGCGGACGTACCCTTAGGGTAGGGGGTCACCTACCCCCAGTAATTTCGAAAAAAATGTATGTGTTTATGAGTATATATCTTAAATAATAGTAATATATTTCAATTAGCACCCTAAGATTCAAAGCCTAGGCAGCTGCATTGGTCGATTTGGGCGGGCACAACTTGACTTTTAGTGCGCTGCCTGGGTTCGATTCCCTCTCCGGCACTTGCTCAATTTTTTATTCGATAATGGTGCCCCCACCGCTTTAAAATCCTGGGTCTGCCTCTGAGTCTAGGACTAATATTATTTTCATCATATCTCATAAACTTTTCTCTCAATCTTCACCCAGGTTTAGCTGTTATTTGTGGAATGCTAGTGACAACTTGTCTTATGTCGCTAATTATAGCACTGCACCGGGAGAGGACCGCTGTGTTTCTCTCTATGTCCTTTTTGTTATTCTTTGGTTTGATTGAGGCAATATACCTATCATCATGTTTCTTGAACTTTTCCAAGGGAGCTTGGTGTATTGTTGCTCTGTCATTGATTTTTATGACAATCATGGTCTCTTGGCACTATGGTACTATAAAAAAGTATGAATTCGACATAGAGAACAAGATGACCGTGGACTGGGTGACAGAACTTAGTCCTGGACTTGGCGTTTCTAGAGTGCCCGGAATTGGATTCATTCATAGTTATATTGTGACAGGAATCCCAGCTTTCTTCTCTCACTTCATTACCAACCTCCCTGCATTCCATAGCCAAGGCCTCCTCCACCTTACGCTCAAAGACTTGCGAAGCAAAAGAATGAAAACCAATTCAAGAAGTTTATTGAGATGATGAAAAGTTTGTCAATCAATGTGCCCTTAGTGGAAGCTCTTGAGCAAATGCCGGGATACGCCAAGTTTATGAAAGACTTGGTGACTAAAAAGAGATCTATGGATTGTCAGACCATTAAAATGACTCAACAAGTGAGTGCAATTGTGCACTCAATGGCTCCAAAGCTTGNAAAACAAATACTGTATCATTTCAGTAATTTTTGTGCTCTATACAGATGTGCACAATGGCTCTTTAATCCTCGCATTCTATGTCAATTCGATTTTAGTTTTTGAGTTAATTGACAAAAATAGGTTAAGGAACCGCAATAAAATTTGGCATATCAGTCCAAAAACTATCAGATCTTGCCTAAAACTATCAGATCTTGCCTAAAAGAGCATCTCCGGCAACCTCGTCTCATATTTTCTTATTTCTCTTAGTTTTTGTTTCATCCTTTGCAACTGGTGAAGCCCAAATTTGAATGCCAAAAACTCGCCGGAAAAATTCAACACCAGCAACCACCGAAACTTGTAATGTGGTGATGGACAGAAGGTGTTTTCTAGTGTAAATTTGTATAGGTAGTGTTTATACACACTTATACAATATTGTATAAATATGTATAAGTGTGTATATCTGCGTACAATGTTGTATAAATTATCTATATTTTTGATGTATAAGTGTGTATATACGTTATTCGTGTATAATAGGTATCCATGGATGTTTGACACTTTCTTCTTTTTTTCTTCTTTGTCTTATTTTTCTGATATACATTATTAGGTATTGTATATACAAGTTTATACAAAGTTATACATCATTATACATGTAATGCACATGTGCATTTAAATCTAAAATTAAAATTTTATATGTTTAATCTATGTATAAATCGACTTTTTTTGTTGATTTATTTGCCAAATCATGAACATGCTAATAATTTTTTTAAATTTTTACTTTTTATTTATGCTATTTGGAACTTGGAAAAGAAGAAAATTTAAGGTTTTCAAGTCGCATTATATATGAATTTGAATTTTTTGTAGCTGGAAGAGGAATATATACAAACTTGGGGAAGAAGAATAAAAAATCACAAAATTTTTGTGCTTAAAGATCTGCAGAATAAAAAAAAAGAAGAAAAAATGCTTAATTTTCGAACTTTGGCCTATTGTTAATGGGCTACAGATTTGCAAAGTTCTAACTGGGTTATTCTGATGCAATGTATATGGGTGGACTGTATTGTATGGGTCAAAATCCGACCCCACGATAATTAACGGAGCTAATCTCGTCCTGAGCTAAGACATAATTAATGAAGTGGTATGGCCACTTATTCGTAACAGGACTCGACTCTTGTCCGATTTAATCTACGAGGGTACGGCCCAGTCATTCCCCCATGGGGACGGAACTTCAGCATGGCCACAGCCATTTATCGCCAGCTCACAAAGCTCACATCTATAAATACTAAGAGCAGTAGCCCTAGAAAAGGGGGGCTTCTTGACCACTAGTGAGGGGGGAGAGAAACGAGAAAATATACCCCTCTTATGGGAAAAGAATAACACCATTGTAAGGCTCTGAACCTCTTCATGGAGAGGCAGACCAAACAAATTTTATCAATAAAGGTTTCTAATGCTTCTCCCCCTAATTATGAGTTCTTATTTTAGTTTCTTTCATTTGGTCCAACGGATTATTACGATTTGCTATGATTATCCCGAGATTAATTTATATTGTTTTCTACTCGTAAGATGTGTAACATTTTTTGAGCAAATAATTTGGCGCCGTCTGTGGGGATTTCATAGCAAAATCGCGTAGTTCTTCCCTGGACCAAAAGAAAAGAAGCACCAAACTCGAAGGGGAGCTCGAAGATCTCAAACAAAGATCTAAGTCCTCACTCTCTCTCCAATCTCAGATAGTGCAAACAAGAAGAAGGGGCCCCCTCCTTTCCTCAGGGGAGGTCTCTGTAAGGCATACGAACTCCGGTCGGAAACCGGCACGGAGATATATCGAGCCGAGATTCGCCTCAAGACAGCCTATATACCCTGGTTGGGAAGACAATGGGTAAGCTGCTCAAGGTCTCGAATCCAAAACGAGTTCCAGCACTCGATACCCACAGTATGGGATTCAGGCTCTGTGCCTTCGTCAACAAGATCGACAAAGTTCAACAGCAGTTGAACCGGGACTCAGGCTACGCGCCTTCACCAAAAATTCAACTACGGTTGAATCAAGACATGCTATGCGCCTTCACCAAAAAGTTCAACTACGGTTGAACCAAGACAGGCTATGCGCCTTCACCAAAAAGTTCAACTACGGTTGAACCAAGACAGGCTATGCGCCTTCGCCAACAAGTTCAACTATGGTTGAACCAAGTCAGGCTATGCGCCTTCGCCAACAAGTTCAACTACGGTTTAACCAAGCCAGGCTATGCGCCTTCGCCAACAAGTTCAACTACGGTTGAACCAAGTCAGGCTATGCGCCTTCGCCAACAAGTTCAACTACGGTTGAACCAAGACAGGCTATGCGCCTTCATTAGCCAGTTCGACTACGGTTGAACCGGGACTCAGGCTATGCGCCCTCGCCAAAAGTTCAACTACGGTTGAACCAAGACAGGCTATGCGCCTTCATTAGATAAATTCAACTACGGTTGAACCGGGACTCAGGCTATGTGCCTTCACCAAAAAGTTCAACTACGGTTGAACCAAGTCAGGCTATGCGCCTTCGCCAACAAGTTCAACTACGGTTGAACCAAGACAGGCTATGCGCCTTCATTAGCAAAATTCAACTACGGTTGAACCGGGACTCAGGCTATGCGCCTTCGCCAAAAAGTTCAACTACGGTTGAACCAAGTCAGGCTATGCGCCTTCGCCAACAAATTCAACTACGGTTGAACCAAGACGGGCTATGCGCCCTCATTAGCAAATTCAACTACAGTTGAACCAGAACTCAGGCTACGCGCCTTCGCCAAAAGTTCAACTACGGTTGAACCAAGACAGGCTATGCGCCTTCACCAAAAAAGTTCAACTACGGTTGAACCGGGACTCAGGCTATGTGCCTTCATCATCAAAATCGACAAAGTTCAACTACGGTTGAACCAAGACATGCTATGCGCCTTCGCCAACAAGTTCAACTACGGTTGAACCAAGACAGGCTATGCGCCTTCATTAGCAAGTTCGACTACGGTTGAACCGGGACTCAGGCTATGTGCCTTCGCCAAAAAGTTCAACTACGGTTGAACCAAGACAGGCTATGCGCCTTCACAAAAAAGTTCAACTACGGTTGAACCAGGACTCAAGCTATGTGCCTTCGCCACCAAATTAGCAAATTCAACTACGGTTGAACCAAGACTCGGGCTATGTGCCTTCGCCATTAAATCCAACGAGCTCGACCTCGCTCGAACTACAAGGATGGACGCCTTCGTCCTCAACTTTAGCAAGTTCAACCACAGTTGAACCGAAACTCAGGCCAAACGCCTTCATCCGTGAAAGCAAAGCCCGACCTCCAACAAATCAAGGCGCAGGGTAGGCACCCTCGCCATTCAAGTAAGTTCTCCCAACTCGAATTAAGACTCGGGCCGCGTAAAGTTCGGCCCCGGTCAAACTACGAGGCTGCGTTTTTTACTATCACGACCGGTAGTCCGACCGCGTCTGAACTAGGACTAAGGCTAAACGCCGCTATCGCCAAATAACGGACAAGACTCGCCCGCACCGAGTTGAAAAAGCAAGGTCATCAATTATATTATGGCTAAGGCCATCGTCGCCAACAGTCGACCTAGATTCGACTAAGGTGAATAAACGACTCGACGACAGTCGAAGTCGCCTTTATGGCTTAGACCGTCGATTCTGTCACGACTAAAGTCGTCGATCTAAATTCGACTAGGGCCGCCAATGCCGACGTTCAACAAAAAGCGCAACAAAAACTCTAAAGAACGAAAGAAAGACAGTGACACAAAATAAGCACAAGGCAGGCAATAGAAAAGAAAACTTATATACTTACAAAGTCAAACTGCGGGTCATCCCCGCTTACAGCCGGCCAAGGCCGATCAATACAAGAAATAAAAAGAAAAACAACAAGAAACATCTAAACGCCAAACGGCGAACAAGACAAGAAAAAAACTGCATCATCATCTTTTTTACTCNATTTCGCCGGACTCCATCTGTTCCGCACCTCCCATTGCCGGAGATGGCCCTTCAACTACCGGAAAATCTACCGGAGGAGCACCGTGGGAAGAACTGACTGCCATTGTTGATCTAATGAAGACAAATGGTGCCACAATCAAAGGAAAGAAAAGAGAAGATGAATTAGCGAAACGAAAAAGTTTCCTCAGAATCTCTCTCTCAGATGAACAATGAAGATATGAGAAATGAATGCCTCATCTCACCTTTATAGGCAACATAAATGGCTTTTGCGAAACCCAATAGCCATCATTAACTGCACGACCAACCGTAAAACGGTTCGGTTCTGTCGTAGCAAGCGTCATTATGACGAGCTCCATAAAGCGGCTTCTCAGCCATCCGCCAGCATACCGCCGTTAGAACAGTCGCTACGACCTACGAACACTGAAAGAAAGTGTCGTACGCCGTTAAAATTTTGGACGACCAAATACGTACCCAGCGCATATTCATTCCCCACGGCCATCTCCAATATATGAAAGGCTACGGCCATCTTGATCTCCAATGAATGAAAGGCTACGGCCATCTCCAATATATGAAAGGCTACGGCCATCTTGATCTCCAATGAATGAAAGGCTACGGCCATCTTGATCTCCAATGAATGAAAGGCTACGGCCATCTCCAATATGTGAAAGGCTACGGCCAACCCCAACATATGAAAGGCTACGGCCATCTCTAATGTATGAAAGGCTTTCCAATGCACGAAAGGCTACGGCCAGCTCCAAGGTGTAAACGGCTAAGGCCACCGCCGCCAATAAATCGACTCCCTTATTCGAGTTGTTTTCAAATCACAATCGATGAAGTCCGCTCATCGAGCTCGGCCAAGGCCCGACCTCAATAAGCGGAGGGACTAACTGTATGGGTCAAAATCCGACCCCACGATGATTAACGGAGTTAATCTTGTCCTGAGCTAAGACATAATTAATGAAGTGGTATGGCCACTTATTCGTAACAGGACTCGACTCTTGTCCGATTTAATCTACGAGGGTACGGCCCAGTCATTCCCCCATGGAGACGGAACTTCAGCATGGCCACGGCCATTTATCGCCAGCTCACAAAGCTCACATCTATAAATACTAAGAGCAGTAGCCCTAGAAAAGGGGGGGCTTCTTGACCACTAGTGAGAGGAGAGAGAAACGAGAAAATATACCCCTCTTATGGGAAGGGAAAAATACCATTGTAAAGCTCTGAACCTCTTCATGGAGAGGCAGACCAAACAAATATTATCAATAAAGGTTTCTAATGCTTCTCCCCCTAATTCTGAGTTCTTATTTTAGTTTCTTTCATTTGGTCCAACGGATTATTACGATTTGCTATGATTATCCCGGGATTAATTTATATTGTTTTGTACTCGTAAGATGTGTAACATTTTTTGAGCAAACAGTGATCATGTAAGGAATATAAATGATTTCGAGGATCAGATTATTAGCTCGATAGGTGAATTCATTGCCAGAGAGGAACGACATCATGAAGCGTTGTTCTTGGAAGAGGGAAGAATGATTATTTTGGGAAGCCGAATGACCGATGGAAATGTATTGGTACCTGTTGTTGTTGGAGGTGAACAAAGTGAAAGTGGTCAAGATGTAGCAGATATTGAAAATCCTACTGCTACTACTACAACAAAGAGGAAAGAAGTTAGATTTATGTTGCCTGCAAATAGTCCTAAAATGAATCCATCAGTAAGGAAAGAACTTCAAGAACTTGTTGATGCCAGGGAAAGTGGCACTGCTTATTTTTTGGGCCATTCACACTTAAAAGTACGAAAAGGGTCGAATTTTGTGAAGCAATTTCTTGTAAAGGTTTATGCATTTCTGGATAAGAACTGCAGAGAGACTCCAATTGCATTAGATATACCTCATGCTGCTCTTTTGGAGGTTGGAATGGTGTATACAATATAATTTGCAACTAAAGCAATGAATACATTATGGTCCAGATGTCGTAGAAAATTGAGAATTAGAATTTTTTTGGTTCTTTGAATTGGAATGGCATCAATAGAAATTTAGAATTTTGCAACGAAAGCAATTTAAAACACACACTTATCAGAAATAGTTTTAGCGACAACAAATTTCATTTACGAGTGCAGGTGAAAAGATGCATTTTTATCACTAAATCATAGTTATTAATATAAATTCTCACCTTAACTTATTATTTAATTATGATAAATTAGTATGACTTAGTGTAAACACCGGGTACAGGTAAGGATAAACCAAAGTAAAGAGGGGTGTCTAAAGCATTTTAAACCGACTAAACCAATCAAATCAAACCTAACTAGACTGATCCTTAGGTTATTTCCATAGAAATTGTAGGTTTAGGTATAAGCTTATTGAACCATGTGTTGATACAGCTAGCACTGGGGATTTCTTGTTGAATCACTCAGGTACACCGACATACATCAGACATTTTTTTTTTAATTACCAATCGTCACGATTTAAAATGACTTATATTTTGTATACTTTTTCTCCTAAATTTATATACGCTTTATTATAGAAAATGATAGAATGAGTGGAGAAGGACCATTAGTTCATTATCTCACCCTTAAACATAGAGTAGAAAATTTTGAGTTCTCCACGCAATTAGGATTTGAGAATTCTTCTTAATTCTTTCATTTCAATCTTTCAATTTTTTTATCTTGCTTTATAAAAGCTACGACCCTTTTTAATCATAATAATGTCTCTTTTACTTTTTGCATATGAAATCAAAATGGGACAAGCGATGTGTATGCATGGTACCTATTAATCTTATACTACTAAGATAAAATCAAGAACGTTCGTATTGGCAGCAGCCTTTTATGGTATAATCAAAAGTTTATTTATGAATTCATCTACTAATGTTTTCTATTTCCTTGATAGCGATATTGCATACAACACGTTCCACAAATATATGTAGCGAAAGAAAGAGAAAAAAAAATGGTACCAAACATCTTGGGTTCAATCATAGCAGTTAATTAACAAACATAATTCATGAGAATTGAGATATGTAGTGGCTGTTAGGGAGAATACAGTATCCGTAAAACCTTAAAGTTTAGACCCTCGTTATATATCGTGATTATTATTTTCTAGGTAAAAGTAAATGAATCTCATATATCCAAGAATTTCAGATTTTAGTTACAACCTGATCAGTTTCTTGAGTTACTCGATCGATCGACAGAGGTGGATCCAGGATTTTAAGATGATGGATGCACTTTTGTATAAAGGTGGATCTAGAATTTTCATTTGACGGGTTTAACTTTAGTCTCTTACCATGAACCTACTACACTTTAAAATTATAGGTTCAAAATTATATATATATTTTTTGAAATTTTAGTGATTTTCACATATGTATTTATATTTTGTGCGAAAACAAGACTGTCCGAAGTGGGATTTGAATAGTCAATATCAGTTGAAGAGATGCACCCAATAATTATTGCACCATTAGAGTCTTTAATCATGGGACACGCATATATATGTAAGTTATATTTAAAAAAAAAATATTGTTATACATGGTTTAAGAAAAGGAGTATAGATTTTCGTGAACTCATATCCCTTAACCTAGATATGCCCTTCTCTATTGAATTATGTTTTTGAGTTAGATGTTCAGAATTTCATATTTTTTCACATGAGACATAAATTATACCATTATCCTTGTAAGAAAAACCACATTGTGCGAAATTCTTTTTTTTGGTTTCCCACCCGATGTCCGGTACCCGCATTAGAGTCCGACTATATCCGGATTCGCACCGCGTAGGGCCCCATTCGGGTACCTACCAAGGATTTTTCCATACCCAAGGCTCGAACCCGAAACATCTGGTTAAGGGAGGAACTATTATATTAGTTAGTGTTTTGATGGGAGTATTTGAAAAGAGGTGACTTTTGTTTTAAAAGGTGCCTATTGGCAAATGTTGAGTCTGTTAGTCCTAACAGACACCTAAAGGGTTTGAAAAGAGGTGACTTTTGGTATTAAAAGGTGCCTATTGGCAAAGGTTGAGTCTGTTAGTCCTAACAGACACCTAAAGGGTTTGAAAAGAGGTGACTTTTGGTATTAAAAGGTTCCTATTGGCAAATGTTGAGTCTGTTAGTCCTAACAGACACCTAAAGGGTTTATAAATACCATTTTCTTCTCCAAAACAAAAATCATCAGAAAAGCAACAAAGTATCTTTTTCTTTTCTGCTATCTTCAATTCACCAAATTTGTTCAAGTGGAAATTCGAGTTAATTGCTGGTGCTCGAATTTCAGAGGCTTTGTAAAATCCTGGAGGAATTCTGCCATAATCCCTGCAGTAACGAAATTGGGAGGCTTAAATTCCTTAAGGACAGTGACTACACTATCAAAGCCTAATTATTTTGTCCCTATATTCTGTTATATTTTCTAACAATCTTAAGGAATTTAACAACACTGCAATGGAGGCTTCTGGTAGTGATTCTGGTTTCAACAAGATGTTCGAAGTGTTCAAACTGGATCGATTTGATGGCTCAAATTTTACCTGCTGGAAAGACAAATTGTTATTCTTTCTCACGGAGTTGGGAATAGCATATCTGCTGAGTTCTGATCTTACTGCAATGCCAGAACCTACTGCTGAAGACTCTGACGAAATTAAGGCGGCACGCAAAAAACGTGAAGATGATGAGGTGCGCTGTAGAGGTTTTATTTTAAACTCACTTTTTGATCGTTTATATGATTTGTTCCGTCCTCACAAATCACCACAAGAAATCTGGAAAGCCTTGGAACAGAAATATACTGCTGTGAAGCAAGGAACGGACAGATTCCTTGGAATGAAATTTTTTGAATTTCAAATGATAGATGGAAAATCTGTCATGGAACAGGTTGATGAGTTGCTGGTTTTGATATCTAGACTCAGATTTTAAAGTCTATGTTTCTGAATCTCTTCAAGTGGCTGCTATACTTGCAAATTTACCAGCCACTTGGAATGACTATAGGAAGAAATTATTACATTCTTCCGAAGACTTTAATGTGGACCAGTTGACAAAGCATATTCGGATTGAAGAAGAGTCACGAAAATGTGAAAATAAATATGCTTCGGAAACTAGTTCAAAGGTGAATTATGTTGAGTCTAGTAAGGCAAACAACTCAGGGAAATCTGGAAACAAGGCTGGAAAGAAGAGAAAGTTTGAGGCTGCTCCAAAGGAAAATTCTTCTAACATTAAGAAAGGTCCATGTTATACTTGCGGAAAAATGGATCATTTTAAGAGAGATTGCAGGTTTCGTAAGAGACAGAAAAATGAAGAAAATTCTGGACAAAAGAGGGTAAATAATGTTGAACAACAACAAGCTTCTTCTTCGGATATTGTTGCTAGGATTTCTGCTTTTACCAACTTGAATCTGAGTATGGTAACTGAATGCAACATGGCAGCAACTATGAAATCTGCAGATTGGTGGTATGATCCCGGTGCTACAGTTCATGTATGCAATGACAAGAGTTTCTTCAAACATTATGAAGTTGCAACAAGTAATGAAAAGGTTTTAATGGAAAATCATGACACCGCCAAGGTCTTTGGAAAAGGAACAGTTGAACTACAATTCACTTCGGGAAAGAAGTTGATTTTAATTAATGTTCATCATGTACCTGATGTTAGGAAGAATTTAATTTCTGCAAGTTTATTAAGTAAGAAAGGCCTCAAAACTGTTATAGGGGCAGAAAAGATTATTTTCTCTAAGAATGGTGTATTTGTAGGACAAGGCTACTCTTGTAAGGGCATGTTCAAACTAAGTATTAATAAAGTTGAAGTTTCTGCTTATATGATTGAGTCATCTATTAATTTATGGCATGCTAGACTTTCACATGTTAATTTTCGATATGTTAAGTTTATGTCTAAAAATAAATTAATTCCTGTTGTTGAGAATAATGATAAAAAATGTGAAATTTGCATACAAGCTAAGATGACTAAGAAATCTTTTCCAAAGAATGATAGAACAAGTAATCTACTTGAACTTGTGCATTCCGATATATGTGAATTGAATGGTCATTTAACTAGAGGTGGAAATAGATACTTTATTACTTTTATAGATGATCATTCTAGATATACACATGTTTACTTAATGAAAACAAAAGATCAAGCATTTGATATGTTTAAGAGTTACAAAGCATTAGTTGAAAATCAATTGGAAAAGAAGATTAAAATCCTACGTAGTGATCGAGGAGGCGAATATCTTTCAAATGAATTTTCTGTATTTTGTGAAGAAAATGGTTTGATTCACCAAGTTAGTGCACCGTATACCCCACAACAAAATGGTCTTGCTGAAAGAAAAAATAGAACGTTGGTAGATATGGTTAATGCCATGCTTTTACATGCAAAGTTACCAACGAATTTGTGGGGGAAAGCTTTGTTAACGGCTTATTTTGTGCATAATAGAGTTCCTTCAAAGAAATTTAAGGAATGAATTATGGAAAGGAAGAAAGCCTAACCTAAATTTCTTAAGGGTATGGGGCTGTTTAGCCTATTATAGAATTCCAGATCCTAAAAGGACTAAGTTAGGACCTAGAGGAATCAAAAGCATATTTGTAGGATATGCTGAGAACTCAAATGCATACAGATTATTGGACATTGAGTTTAAGTATATTGTGGAATCTAAAGATGTTGAGTTCTTGGAAACAAAGTTCATTGGTGACTCTAATAATTCACATGAGGACACAGAAATTACTAAACAAGATGGTAATGCAACAAGCATTGGTGATAATGCAGTAACTCAAGAAAATTGTGCAGAACCTAGTTCTTCTTCTAACAATAAAAGAAAGGCAATTGAATCTCCTGTAGAACCAAGAAAAAGTCAAAGAGTTAGAAAAGAAAAAAATATAGGTTCTGATTTTATTTCTTCTCAAGCACTAGTCTTTTTGGTAGAAGGAAGTAGAGATGAAGTATTAAATAAAATACCCATTATTTTAAATTTAGAAGAGGATCCTAAAACCTATAGTGAGGCTATGGCTTCGCGGGATTCTTCTTT